GACCTTCCACCCTCTGATAGCCTAACTGCACACTGACTGAGCTGCTGCTTAGGTCCGGCAGGTGCGGCTCTTCCAGGATGAGGAGATCTACAGTGACCTGTACCTGACTGTGTGTGAGTGGCCTAGCGACGCGTCCAAGGTCATCGTGTTTGGTTTCAAGTGAGACTGGGGGCAGGCAGGGTGGCTGTGGGGCAGGCAGGGTGGGCTGGTGGCCCCTAGACGGGCTTCAGGCTGAGGGTGTGTTACCCCTAGCACCCGCTCAGCCAACGGGATGCTTATGAACATGATGATGATGAGTGATGAGAACCATCGTGACATCTACATCAGCACTGTGGCTGTGCCACCTCGGGGCCGCTGTGCTGCCTGCCAGGATGCCAGTCGTGCCCACCCAGGTGAGACCCCCGGGGCCCTGGAAGGGGTGCGTGGCTGCTGGACCACTGCCAGGGCATCAAGTGAGCTGTAGTATGTTTTGCTGCAGGGGACCCAAGCGCACAGTGCCTGCGGCATGGCTTCATGCTGCATACCAAATACCAGGTGGTGTACCCCTTCCCCACCTTCCAGCCCGCCTTCCAGCTCAAGAAGGATCAGGTGGTGCTGCTCAACACCAGCTACTCTCTGGTGGCCTGCGCTGTCTCCGTTCACTCAGCAGGTAGGTCCAGGCCAGCCAGTCCCATTTTCTGTTCAGAGGTCAGACCAGGAGACCTGGCCAAGTCTCTCAGCATGTTGTAGCTGGGAGGTGGGAAGGCTGGGCCAGTATGTTCAGTGACTGCCTTGGACCTACTTGAAGTGTAGCTTGTCAGCCCAAGAGCTGCTTTAGCAGTAGTAGGGCTAGAGGACCTTACACCTCGCAGGGCTTAATGGTCGAGCTGCTCAGCACAGGGACCTGCTGAGCACGTGCAGGACTGTTTCCTGCATGACAAAAAAGAATGATGCCATGCAGTACAGGTAATGTGCTCTGAGGACAGGGCTGTGTCCTAAACAGTGCAGTTTTGTTGTTGTGTGGAAATGAGAGAACATGTTCATACAGTGTTGATGACAACGGGCAGTGCATGACCCTCTGTAGCCAGTGTTATCCTGCCACACCCTAGAGCATAATTAATACACTCAGCTGTCTTGCATGTCAGGGAATACCAGTAACAAATTCCATGCTGTCTCTTTTGTTAGATAATGCCTACGTAGCCCAGGCTGGCCTAGAACTCACCACACAGACCAGGTTGATCTCAGGCTTACAAAGATCCCCTGCCTGTGCCTTCTTAGTGCTAGAATTAAAGGTGTGTGCTACCACACCTGGCTCTTGTACCTTTTTTGTTTAATCTTTAAATTACATTTTAATTTTTATTAATTTTTTGCATGTCTGTCTGTGTATGTGTATGTACACATGTATGTGCCAGGGAAGTCAGGACAGCTTTGAGGAGTTGATTCTTTGTCATGTGGGGTCTGGGAATTTTGAGCCTAGGTCTGGACTCCTAGTAGCAGGCGCCTTTACCTGCTAAGCTGTGTCTCCATGTCTTGATAGAGTGACATGTTAAGAAGTAGGGTGACGCCACTGGCTGGCAGGAATAGAGTGAGGGCATGGAGTCTGAGCCTACAGCTCTGCCCTGCTGGCTCCTGCCCTCTGAGAAGGCTGGATTCATCAGGTGTGTGTTCAGGTCCATAGCAGAGAGCCAGGGCCCTCTTGGTGCCCTTCTGCAAAGTTGAGAGGTTCAGGTCAGTGTCCTGTGAACCACCAGAGAAAAGCCATGACATACAAATTACATCTGGACATAGACACAGGAGAGAGCTAGAGCTGTGTACTACTTTTGGGATAAACTAATGACATGTTTTGAATTCAAGACTATTCCCATTAAAATGGCTGTCCTGGCGCAGGGGAAGGAAGAGGCACGGGTCAAGTTCATGTGACTAAGCTGACCAGCAAAGGATAGGGAACTTAGTCCTTTGACTCAAACTGAGTTCTCTCCAGCCCTGCTCTGGACACCTGTGTTTCATTGGGAGCGATCCCTAACCTTTACTAAGGCTGTGCCAGCCATCTGCTGACCATGAGCTGCCCAGGCAGCTGACAAGAGGCCCAGGCAGCTGACAAGAGGCCCAGGCAGGACTAAGGATTCAAGGCCCGGTGTCCAGCTTGTCCCAGAACTTTATGTCAAACTATTTCCAACTTACTCCTCTTTCCTGAAAGTGTGCCACCATGACCCCTTGGACAATAGTGGCCTGAGGGTCATGGTGCTGCTTATAGGGAGAGGTGTGTCACAGGTTCCTCTGCTGACTCCCTATTTCCTCTAATAAATATGACCTCTCTGCCAGTGCTGGTTTATTCGGGTTGTGAGAATTCATGAAGGTGATTATAACCTGTTCTCACTGCAGACTGCACTCTGAGGGCAAAGCTTTGTGCATCTCATTTGCTGTGTCCTTTCTGAGTAGCATGGTAAATGTTCAAAGATGAGATTTGAGTAGTAGCCTGGCATGTGAAAGGCCCTGGGTTCTATTCCCAGCATCCATTTTGAGACAAGTTTCTTTGTGTAACAGCTCTGGCTGTCCTAGAACTCACTCTATAGACCAGGCTGGCCTCCAACTCACAGAGATCTGCCTGCCTCTGTCCTCCAAGTGCTGAAATTAAACACATACGCCACCATGCCTGGCCCCAGCATACTTTTAAAAAGTCTTAAATGAATGCATGTCTCACTGTGGTTTCTGACCTCATACCCTTCCAGGGGTTTTACACTGACTTGAACACAGAAACGGTTGTAGGGGGCTCCTTCAGGTGGGCTTCTAATCCAGCCTTTGAGGGAAGTCACAGTAACCTTGAACTGTGGTGACATATCCTACTTTACAATGTTTTTTGCAGGCGACAACAGTTTCTGCCAAATCCTGTATGACCACACAGCTTTGCCCCCAGCCCCGCCCAGCTCTCCAGGACCTTGGAGCCCAGAGGCAGTCCCTGCTTTCCCCAGCCTTGGCCTTGAAGTGGTCCCAGCCCGGCCCTCTGGAGCCCTGGAGCCCTCACCAGCCATTGCCAAGGCCAAGGAGTTTGTGGCTGACATCTTCCGCAGGGCCAAAGAGGCCAAGGGTACCTTGGAGGAATCTCGGCTGCCCTCTGGTCTGGGGCCCTCAAGCAGCCGCAGCCGCCTATCCTCAGAGCCACCAGCCCCAAGTGGGGAAGTGGTGCCCAGGGACAGCCCTCCTGCTGCAGAGGCATCTGCCCCCGAGCCTGGCTACATCAATTACACCAAGTTGCACTATGTGTTGCGGTCTGGGGAAGGGACAGAGCCTGAGGATGGTGAGGGCACTTCCTGGGACAGGTTCTGGGATGGGGCAGTCCCACGAGGACCTTTGGCCTGCTCCTACCCTCTCCCTGCCTCCCCAGAGTTTGAGGATGACAAGATCTCCTTGCCCTTTGTGGTGACTGACCTCCGTGGTCGCAACTTACGGCCCATGAGAGAACGGACTGACATGCAGGTGGGTAGCCCTGGTGCAGGTCGTGGGTGAGCCAGGATGTAAGGGGTGGTTAGCACCACCTACTGCTAGCTCTCTGCCATCTGTCCCCAGGGCCAGTACCTGACAGTGGAGCAGCTCACACTGGACTTCGAGTATGTCATCAATGAGGTCATCCGCCATGATGCCACCTGGGGTCACCAGTTCTGCTCTTTCAGTGACTATGACATAGTCATCCTGGAGGTGAGGCTGGGGCACAGCAGGAGGCTGGAGTGCTCCCACCGTGGATGTCTATCTCAACTGTCACTGCTTGCCCCCAGGTCTGCCCAGAAACCAATCAGGTCCTGATCAACATTGGCCTGCTGCTTCTGGCCTTCCCAGCCCCCACTGAGGAGGGCCAGCTCCGGTGAGTGACAGGGCCCTTGGCTAGCCCTCATGTGGGCACCATACAGAGAGCCTTCTATGTAAGATGTCAAGGGCGAACAGATAGAGCCTGGAGTGCCCCTGCTGTCACTGGTGTGTGACAAGCGAGTGCAAGGGACTCACCGGCCCACCCTCTTGTTCTCCACCACCACAGACCAAAGACCTACCACACCAGTCTCAAGGTGGCCTGGGACCTCAACACAGGCATCTTTGAGACAGTCAGTGTGGGTGACCTAACTGAGGTCAAAGGGCAGACCAGGTAAGGCAGGGCAAGAATGGGTGGCCAGGGAGTTGGCAGGGAAGTCTCCTCTTGACTCATTTTCCTCCTTCTCAGTGGCAGTGTCTGGAGCTCCTACCGAAAGAGTTGTGTGGACATGGTCATGAAATGGCTGGTCCCAGAGAGCAGTGGCCGCTATGTGAACAGGATGACCAATGAGGCACTGCACAAAGGTAGGAGCTGCCCTAATGTCCTAGCTGGATCTCACCCTGGATCCTAGGGCATACTGGATGTTATGGTGTCATTCATAAGGGGGCGGGGAATTATCGGGGAGTTGTTTCTAGAACTTTGTCTTAGTTAGGCCATAGGAATTAGCTGCAGGACTGGACGAGTGGATTATGGTTCTGCATATCCTCCTCTGCAGGGTGCTCATTGAAGGTTTTGGCAGACAGTGAGCGGTACACTTGGATTGTGCTGTGAGGGCTGGACCGCCCTGGACCCTGACTCCAACTACCTCCGAGGGCTCAGGAGAGGACTGCCTTCCTGGGCTGGCCCTACAGGGGCCCCAATCGGCACTAGTGTTAGGTTGCGGGATGGGACTGGTGCAGCAGCCCCTGGTGGCCCAAGAGTCTGGATGTGTCTTTATTTATGCCTATTTAAGTTGGGAAAGGGCCGAGAGGAGCCCCTCAGGCCTGGCCTGCCTCGGCTAAGCCCAGTCCTGCTTCCTGTGCTCTGGCCCCTTCCTTGGCTGCAAGTGTAGCCCACCAGGGAGGCCCAGTGGTTCCAGCCTCCCTCCCCCAGGGTGGAACCCTGTGGCCACCTCCCCTTGTTCTTCATGTACTAAATGCTTTATTTCTGAGCCTGGCTGGTGTCCCTTTCTGTCCTTAGTGCACACTCCTCCCTTGTTCCCCACTTAACCCTGCCCTAGTCATCAGTAGACAAAGATCACAGCAGTATTTATTGTTTTAAGAAAGACTACAAAAAGGTAGAAAACAGTACACTAAACTACCACGCGCGTGGATACTTTCACCACTGGGAAGGGAGGCCCCATGGGGAGTGTGCAGGACCACCCCAAAAGCTGTAGCACGCGGAGCACACAAAATAGTGATTTCTATACAATAGGCCAGATTTTCCTTTTTTTTTTTTTTCCTTTTTCTTTTCTTTTTCTTTTCCATAAACATCTATCACAGATTGAAGACACTGAGAAAACGGGAACGGATAAGGCCATGATGGTTGGAAAAAAACCCAACAAGTTACTGACTCCGCATAAGCGGCACTCACTAATCACACGATAGTTACGGGTCGGGGCAACTGCACGGAGGAGAAGCGTCTCTGGGAGCAGATTTCGGTCACAAGCTGTTAGGGTGGAAGGCGCAGGGCGTGGCCTCAGGTCTGGAGCACCTGGCCCTGCAGCCAGCCGGATGCTCCTCTTTGGAAGCTGGAGGCCAGGGGGCCCTTCACAATATGCCCCTCTCTGGGCTGCGGGCCAGGAGAACCCAGCTCTGGAGAAGGTGCAACACCCACAGCTTTAATTGCACTTATACCAAGAAAAGGGAGCAGTAGGGCTGCTGCTGCTGCTGACAGTGGGGGTCCCAAGATGCCCCCCACCTGCGCCTGCCCGGGCTTGGGGCTGCCCAGGCAGGCTGTGCAAAGCCAGAGAGCAGAATAAGTTAACAGTTACGCAGGGGAGGAGCCAGCCTGCTGCCCTCTGGGGGTGGGGGTGGTGTGTGTGTGTGTGTTGGGGAGGGGTGACAGGGCTGCGAGTTGGGGCAGGAAAAGGGACACCTGGGCAGGTTCCTTAAGGCACGTCTTTTGTGTCAGGGTTTGCAGCTTCGGTTCTGCCCAGCCCAGCCCATGATTGTACCAGCCCCATGTGAGGGGGGATTCCCCTAGCCTTCTCTGTCAGGGGGACCCTCTCCAGCTCTGGCGTGAGCTGGAAGGGTGACAGTGAAGCCACAAAAGCTGAGGGACCGGACCCTGGCCTGGAGGGGCAGCAGCGCAGGTTGGGCGGGCAAAGGGGGGGGCAGGGAGGCCTCAGGCTTAGCTGGAGGGCAGGGCCTGCACGAAGAGGCTACGTGTGTCAGTCCGAGCCAGCTTCGCAGGTGGCTCCAGAGCTTCGGGGCCCAGCGCGGGGGACTCACTGCCAGCGGCCAGCGAGATGTCTTGTGGCAGCTCGTCCTCACTCTCTTCCTCCTCCTCCTCTTCCTCGTCTAGGGCACAGGGACCAGGCCCAGCTCAGCGACAAACTGAAATTTCCAGGGATGCCAGGCCTCCCCATTAGCTGAAACCCAGATCTTAGGTGGGGACATGAATTGTTACCTTTGTCGGGGTCCAAGGGATTCAGCGCAGTGGCCAGGTTTGCAAACTCTCCCATGACTGCGATCGGGGTCTCGCCCCTGGCCTGGGCTACTCGGTGCTCAATCAGGTAGTACATGTACTCGTCATACAACAGCCGGATGAGGTGGAAGGAGCCGAAGCTGGCAGCACTGCGCAGGGTCAGGTCCCGGATTACCATGGAGCTGGGGGCAGTGACCAAGAGTTGTCAGGATTGCAGGGCTATTTGCCCTACTGTGCTGCTGGCAGGCGTGCTGGCTCCCCAGTGTCTTTCCTGAGCTAATGGCCTTCCCTAGCCCTATCCATCACTTCTGGCAGGTCTTCTCAACACATACTGGGACCCCCAGTGTTACCCCTCCCAGTCAGGCCCCGGCCGCCCGGGCGCGCACCTGTAGAAGGACCACTTGAGGAGGAAGAGCTTGGCTGCCTTGGGAAAGCCGGAACTGCCCTGGTAAGGCTTGAGCACCTGGCTCACCACGCCATCCAGCCAGGCCGCCCACTGCTCCAGTGAGTTCTGCTGCTGCAGCGTCACCTTGAAGTCCTGCTCCAGACGCTGCACCACACGGTCCTCGCAGCGGCACACCCACGAGGCCTGCTCCTGGGGCGCAGCAGGCAGCCGCTCAGCCGTCTCTCCCCATGGCTCCCTTCCATCCCAGTCCCACTGGTACTCACCTGCACATTTGCAAAGTCCACTCGGTTGAGGTCACTCAGCATCTGGTTGATCTGGGCAGTGTTCTGCAGCACGGCCCGCGCAGCCTGCGCCAGGTGGTTGAGCGACGTGTAGCGCCGCAGCGTCTGTGCAAAGGCGCCAGCTGCTGCCACCTGCACGGGAGACAGCAGCCTAGCAGTTTCCACACGGGCCACCCTGCCCAGCCTCACCTGTAACCTGCCACTGAGCCCCTTTTCTTAGAAACCAGAAGGATGCGCGTTACCGCTTCTGTTTGGAGGCCAAGGGTGGGTCTCCAGTCCTGGTGTGGGTCATTCAACTGTTCCCATACTGGCTGGCACGATTTTTTTCTATTTATTTATTTTGGTTTCTTCTCTCTTTACCTCTGTGGAGCTCCAGCCATCCTGAACCAGGCTGGCCTCTAAAACTCAGTGTTTGAGCTGCCTCTGCCTCCTGAGTGCTGGGGTTAAAGGTGTACGCCACCGCCAGCTGCTCTTCTCTTCATTTATTTTGAGCATTTAAGGTATGTTGTTGGTTTTCTGAGCATTTATTTATTGATTGATTGATTGTGTTTGAGGAGGGCTTCTCCCTGTAACAGCCCTGGCTGTCCTGTAGACTAGGCTAGTCTTGAGCTCTGAGAGATCTGCCCAAATTTATTTATGTATTTATTTATTTGTTGTGTTTGAGGTAGGGCTTCCCCCTGTAACAGCCCTGGCTGCCCTGTAGACTAGGCTAGTCTTGAGCTCTGAGGTCTGCCCGCCCCGCCTCCCGAGTGTATTAAAGTTGTGCGCCACCACGCCCTGCTCATTTTGTGCATTCCTTGATGGCCCACTTATGAAAGTCAGAGGACAACTCGTGGGCGTCACTGCTCTCTGTTCGTCATGTGGGTCCCAGGATCAAATTCAGGTTACCAGGCGTGAAAGGTCAGTACTTTTATGCACTGAGCCATCTCCCTGGCCCTGTCTGTCACTGTTTCTTGCTGACTGTGATGGTGATCAAACTCAGATCACGTTCACCCAGCACTCCCCACAGAGTACCTCCCTTGCCTGCCCAAAATTACTGGGGTGTTTTGGGTTTTTTTTTCCTCCTTTGAGGCAGGGTCCAGACTAGGCTCAGACTTTTGGTGGCCCTGTCTCATCCTTTGTGCTGGCATTACAGGTATGCACTTCATGCCTAACTCATGCCATCAACAAAAACAGCCCCCCCACCCCAGTGCTGAGGCTGGAACCCAAGGCCTAGCACAAACTAGACAAGGAGTGTACCGCTGAGCTCTATATGCAAGTGTCAGTTACTGTCTGAGTTAGAGCAGGCTTGCTGAGCATGGTGGGCACACCTTTAATCCCAGTGCTCAGGAGACTGGGGCAGGTGAATCTCTTGTGAGTTTGAGGCCTGGTCTACAAAGAGAGTTCTAGGCCAACCAGGACTACATAGTAAGACTGTCTCAGTAATAAGTAGAGATAGATGGATAGATAGGCAGGCAGATGTCCTAAGTACTAAAACCCTGGGAGCCTTCAGATATGGGGTCTAAGGTGTAAGACTGCCTGGAGCCAGCCTTGAGGCCCTTAAAGAGCAAGTCTTCACAGGCGTCCTGCAGGCACCATACAAATGTTGTAGCCTGGTTGCCCACTGCAGTCCTCACCTTCACCCGAAGCATCTCCTCAGGGATGTTCACCATGGCATGGGTGAGCCAGCTCTCTAGGCTCTTGGCAAAGTTCCGGATTGCTTGGGTCAAGGCACCTGTGGAGGAAGGGGGTGCTGGTCAGGGTAGACAGGGGTGCTTCAGGGAGGGGCGCAGGCAGCAGCACTCACTGGGGATGGGCCGCAGCACATCAGGGATGAGGATGTCCACCAGGCCCTGGTACAGCACGTTGTCACAGTGCTTGGTCCACTGCAGCACGGGCTGGAACTTGGACAGGAGCACCAGACTGGCCCTGGGCAGCCGCTTCTCTGCCTCATCATGCCTGTGGGAACCCACCCAACCCCCAGTCAAGGGCATGTGTAGCCCCCACATGCAGGGGTTACCCCCTCCCAGACTCTGGGCACTTACACGGCCAGTGGTGGTGCCTCATTAGGTTGGCTAAGGTTATATCTCCAAAAGGTCTTCCACAGCGTTTCCACCAGCGTGAACTGGAGGTTTATCATGACATCCACAATGGCCTGAAGGGACAGGACTTCACAATGGGGAGTGGTGCAAGGCCAGCATGGAGCTTCCTGCTCAAGGCAGAAGGCCAGCTGCTTTCAAGGACAGCCCACTCACCCTCTCACCCACCATCTGACTGCCCTACCTCACAGTGCTCCCGATACAGGACCTGGAAGGCCTTAACATCCCCAGGGCCGATGCCCTCGGGTAGCGCTTTGCCCTGGAGGTCCAGCTCAGCGAAATCAGGGAGGCTCCTGGAAGCATCTAGGAGTGAGGGCACCATGAGACCCTGTGTCTACCTGTCTACCTCTTGCTGCCTCTGGGTTTCTAGTCAACTGTCATTCCAACATGTGTCAATCTCCATGTATAGGATGAATGGCTAGACCAAGTAGGGTGAGCTACTGGCCCAGGGTCCTATGGCCCCTTGCACAGAGCACACAAGGTACTTTTGACTGCCCTGGCCTGCTGATGAGTGCTGGTTCTGACCAGTCCTTAGACACTTGGTACAGGCAGCCTCCCTGCCAAGGAAGTAGGTACCTATCCGTATCAGAGGGATGCTGTTCATCATTAGCACGGTCACCAGGGCCACACGACTCTGAGCATCAGCTCTACCTCTTCCTCCACTCCCCAGCCTCAGTGTCATGGTGGCCAGGAGGCTGTTCTTTGCTGTCAGCATCACTATCAGGCCCTGTTTTCTCTTTTTTTTGCATCTTTAGTGTGTGCAGAAACCTAACACGCTTCCCTCTCAGTTATGAATCCTAGTCACATAAACACAGCAGGCCAGCAAGGATGGGATCACCTGTCGTGTTAGTGGACTACTGTTTGACCATCCATATTACCTATTGGTGTGGGATTCAGCATCACCAGGCTTCACCGGGGGTGCACGAACACAGAAACACTGGCTACTGAAAGGGGATGGGATCTCAGCTCTGTGGAGCCTGAGCTTGAAGGTCAGGAGACCAGGTCTCAAAAGTATGGCATGAGGCAAGCATGGTAGCACACACCTTTAATCCCCGCTCTTAGAGAGCAGAGGCAAGTGGATCTCTGTGCTGGAGGCTAGCATAGTCTATACAGTGAATTCTAGATTAGCCAGAGCTATATGGTGAGAAACTGTCTTAAAAATAAAAAACCCAAAATGGAGTTGGGAGATCTTGGAGAAGGTTTGCGGGGACAGAATAATCCTGTAAAGAGAGAGGCAAGCAAGCCTGAATGTCCACCAGACTCCCCCTATGGGCCCTCCTGAGTCCCCGGGGCAGGCTATCCTGCCTTGCCCATCGGCTCTCACCCAGGAACTGCTGGTACTGCTGCACCTGGGCGCTGATGTCTGACAGCCCTGTGCTCTGCTGCCCCACGGCAACACCGTTGGCCACGCCCTCCATCTTCTGGATGGGCTTGAGCCTGGAGGGGAAGGGGTAGTGGGGTGGCTGGTGGGAAGATGGGCCAGCTAGGGTGAGGGAGGGGGACAGATCTGGTAGGGAGGGGGTAACCCAGCTGTGTGGTGATCAGGGAGGGGATGGGCTGGGGTGGGGATGGGTAGCAGGTAAGGATTGATGGAGCGTGGTTGGGTAGTAAGTGATGTCACCTGGAAGGGACAAGCCACCTGAGTGGGGGTTGGGCAGACTGATGAGAAGTGCCTAGGGTATGGTCAAGTGGTATCATACAGTCAACTTTGCAGTCCCTGCTCAGCTCCAGAGCAGGAGGGGACCCTACCTCTGTTTCTGGGAGAATGGCTGGCCTCTCATGGCCATGTGCTGCTGGTCCTCCATCAGCCGCAGCAGGGGTGAGCTGGCTTTGATCCGCAGACCATAATAGTGGTACTTAGAGTTGCCCCTGGGAAGAAGGCAGGGTGAGGTACTTTACCAGCTGGGCAGGACGCTGGGGGTCTATGAACGGAGAAAACTAGCCAGCTGAGCTGAAGAACAGGGCGTTAGGTGTCAGGAGTGAGGGCAGGGCAGCATGAGTCACTGCTTGCAATCAATTCTGATTCCAGGCAAGCATTTGGCAGACACTTGGCTGTTGGTTGTAAGGACATGTGGTGCCTTTACTGAGCATGTAACCCCCACTCTATGCCACGAAGGGAGAGCCTGGACAGAAATGAGAAAACTGAGACACAGAGCAAGCTTATCACCCAGGGGTAATATGGATGGATGGATGGATGGATGGATGGATGGATGGATGGATGAACAAATGAACAAATGCATGCATGCAATGATGCCTAAGCTACTATCTGGAAAAGAGATGAGCATGGACCAAGGGATAGCTGAGTAGGGAGATGGGGTAAATTAAAGGAAAGAGAAGGCACAGGCCGAGCAGCGTCCCCAGGGTAGGCACAGGAAGGCTGAGCAGAGGGTGCAAGAGACAAGAGGGGTCTTATCCTGTGTTCAGAACCGCTTGGAGTGGTAATGGGTCATATGGGCAGGGAGCATAACCCTTTGAGGCAGAGGGCAGATGAAGGGGGAGGGGGAGGGGCAAACCTGGTGCCCAGACGGCGTGTGCGCAGACCCATGAATACCGAGCGGATAAGCTTGCCGAAAGAGGCTGCATTAACGGGCTCCAGCTTCTGCTCCTGGCAGTGCAGCAGGTAGTGGCAGTAGAGGGTGCTGCGTGGCAGGCTCACGCCCTCGGCGGTCTCGTAGTTATCCAGGAGCCACTGCACCTGGAGCACACGGAAAGACTGGGCAGTGCTGACAGTCCCCGGAACCCTTTCAGACTGTGGCTGCATGCTCTGCAACTTATTTCCACTGTGCTTCTGACAGCCACCGTGGCCAGCTGTAAGTTGCACATCGTGTCACGGTATTCCTGGGAACTACAGTCTTTAAGTTTCTAGAAGAGCACTGGCCTATGCACTTGCTACCAGCCACCTGCAGCTATTTAAAGACAAAGTTGTTACTACATGAGTAATGAGAAGTCGATCTTCCAAGGTCACAGAATATAAGAGTCCACCTGTAGAACATTCTAGAAGTAACATTATAGAGATGGGAAGCAGATAGATTAAAAAACAAATTCATGGTTCCTGAGGGGGTTCAGGATGTTGAAAGTGAGATAGAAGAGGGTGGAAATAGAAATATAAACACACACACACACACACACACACACACACACACACACACACACACACA